GTTTTCTATCAAGAAGGGCGTTTTGTTTACTGCTCAACTTGATTTGAGTATATTCGGTAATGTGTCCATCATCATCAAGATACATGATTGGTCTACGAAAATTTGTATTATCATTTTCTCTGAACCACGTGAGATTTGCATGTTCTTTTTTAACTTTTATTTTAGTAATATCTTCTTGAGTTTCAGAATCAGAATTACTTGAAGACATTTTAAATTACATAAGAAAAAATCTAATCGGTTTTATAAACTGATTAGATATAATAACTTTTTGTCTCCGCGACACTCTTTTTTTTCAGCTGCCGCTAGCCTCGCAATTGCTTATCGTGGGTTGTGATTGATAGTTTTTTTAGTTAATGATCATTCTGATTCGAATTTTTAACTGGATCCTTCACCCATTTTCATACGCTGTATTCAAATTCCTTCTAGTCGACAATACGAATCGCCATTTGATAATTGATTATAAGAATATAATATATAAAAAAATATGTTTATTAAAGATGAAAATCTATAAATAATTCAATAAATAAATAGTTCTAAATAATTCTTAGTTATGAATAAGTTATAGGATATCTGTTTCTGTTTCCAGTTAATTCATCGTGAGTTAATTTAAAATCGATCGCTAATTGTTTTGCTTGTTCACTAGTTCTATTCTTTGTAATTCTAAAATTTTTAACTTTACGTTTATTATTCTCATACCAACGAAATCTCCAAGCATTTTTTCTTTTATTATAACAAATTCCATTATATTTTGAAGTATTATTTTTTTGTAATTTACGATTTAGTTGGTTTTCTCTTGATGTTGTTTCCCGAAGATTACATTCACGATTATCACATCCATCACGATTCATATGATCAATCATCTTCCAATCAGGATGAATCAAACGATGAATATGCTTTTTTTTATTTTGAATAGAATATGTGTTTCCATCTTTAACACAAGTCCAGGTATAATTTTTCAAGAGATGAAAATTCTCTTTATCAAGGAGGAAAGTGATTTCAGGTTTTTGAGTTTTTACTTCTAAATAGATTGTAAAATTGATTTTTACAAGACGATATTCATTCAATTTACGTCTAGGATACTTTGAATTTTCATATTTTTCCCAATCAGACAAAATTTTGAAGTCTTTGAATTTTTCTTGCCAAGACATTTTTTACATTTTTTGTTATAATAAAAATCTAATCAGTTTATAAACTGATTAGATCTTTTTGGTTCAAAATATTTTATTTAAAATAATAAAATAATAAAACAAAGTTATTTGAAATAATCTTTGATAGTATTTTTACGTTCTGGTAAAGTTAATTCAATAGTTGGGTTTTTTGAACCTAAATATGCAAGTCGATCAGCTTCGATCTTTATATAAAATGATTTATACAAAGCTCCAGGATACCTATTTACGTATTCTTTACATTTGTCCCATGATAAAAAAATTCCAGTTTCTCTTCCTTTAGCAACAGCATAATATTTCAATGAAGAAACTTTTGGCATCTGGAAATACAACATAAATAATTCAAGTAAATGAATCACAATTATGAAAACCAGTCGACAAACAACCCACGATGAAGTCGCCGAGTTAGCAGAAGTGAGAGTTAATAATAGTTATTACATAAAGTAAAGATTATTACAGGTTGCGAATCTCTCTCACCTTTAAAGATCTGAACAGTAAGGTTGTGTGAAGAAAGATCTAATCGGTCTTTAGAGACTGATTAGATTGTTTATTGGATTTGAGAAAAATTACAAAGATAGATGTGAGACAGACTATCGATAAACAAAGGGAGAAGGCTTTCGCAAGTTCGATCATACAGAAAGATAGGTTTGATCCAATCTCGATAACGAAAAGCATTTAAAAATCTGAATAAAGAAAGGGAAATAAAAAAGGGTTTATATATATTTGGTTGAAGAAAATAAATTATGGGATTCCAATTATTTCTTGAATCATTTCTTGAGTTGTTTGGAACAACTAGAGAAATAGTAAAATATCATAAGTAGAATCTCGTTTGGTAAATCATTAATATTTTTCGATTTAAATCGATTCTTAAATAA